GAGCCAAAGTGACAGTTCTTAATGGGATAAGTACTGATTATTTTAATACTTGTAATTGAATTTTTATTACTTTGGAGAGTGTGTGGTTTACTAAAAATTGTAGTTACTCAAGATTTTCATTTTCTTCTGGAACCTTAACTTAGTTACTGTCTTAGTTGAATTGCATTGGATAACTTATAATTTTCTTTGAACCTAAGTTTGTCACTTGAAAGAGTATATGAACAAAAATTTCATGCTTTGGGTTGTAAGTAACAGATAATCTACCCAAAAATATTTAAATATTTAATGACTTAAATGGAGAAGATAGTATTATTGTATCTAATGATAAATTCCAAGACAGAGTGACTCCCAAGTTGGTTAAATGTTGATTTCACCAGCACTGGGATCCTTTTCTTTTTCTTTTTTTTGGAGACAGTTTCACTTTGTCACCCTCCTAGAGTGCTGTGGCATCACAGCTCACAGCAATCTCCAACTCTGGGTTTAGGCAATTCTCTTGCCTTAGCCTCCCAAGTAGCTGGAACTACACGCACCCGCCAAAACGCCTAGCTATTTTTTGTTGCAATTGTCACTGCTGTTTTAGCTGGCCAGGGCCAAGTTCACCTGCCACCTTCAGTATATGGGGCCAGCGCCCTACCCACTGAGCACAGGCACTGCCCCAACACTGGGATCCTTTTCTTGGCTTTTCCCTACATGTTTGCAAAACAGTTTCCCCTACCCTCACTCCCCTAAATTGCAGATTGCAGAAGTAAATAACCTTATTCCTCCTTCAGGCAAAGCCCTTTTCTTGTTTTGTAGTCTTCCCCTTTATTTATAGATTCTACTCTCATTCCTTCTATGCCAGTGTTTCTCAACCTTTCTAATGCTGCGAGCCACAGGGCTCAACGCCTGTGGCTCAAGTGGCTAAGGTGCCAGCCACATACAAATAAGGTGGCAGGTTTGAATCCAGCCGGGCCCACCAAACAACAATGATGACTGCAACCAAAAAATAGCAGGGCGTTGTGGCGGGCGCCTGTGGTCCCAGCTACTTGGGAGGCTGAGGCA